AGACAGAAATTAGATTGTGTTTTCCTAGGCTAGAGGGTGAGAAGTTCTGGGAAGTGACTGCTAATAAGTATGGTGATAAAAACACCCTAAAATTGACTGTAGTGATGGTTGTATAACTCTGTGAAGACACTAAAACCCACTGAAACATACCTTTGAAATGGGTGAAATGTATGGCATATGAATTATATCTCATAGAGATAAAAAAAAAAAAATAAATGGAAAGTTCTTAGTCTAATGCCTGATGCACAGTGCACCACAGCTTTAGCTATGACTGTGTAAAATGCATCGTCAGAGACGTCACTGTAGAAAGCGGTAACTAGACCTTTTATAGGTGTGTCTAACGTGTCATAGTCAATCACAGATATTGTCTCAAAAAGGAAATTTTCCAAATCAGGGGTGATTGGGCCTAAGACCAGAGATGTCTCATGGAGGATCATAATCAATATGTGGTCAGAGCCAAAGCAACCACGAGGCGGGTTCTTCAAACCAATACACCCTATCACCGGGGGGCTCGGTAGGAGAAAGCAGGGAAACCGCCCAAGAAGGGAACAGGCAATACCTCTAGGACCAGATTTCGAGAGAGCAAATATGTAAGGGACAAAGGATTTTTTTTTTTTTTTTTGCAGGGAGTTGGGGTTGATGGAGCAGGTAAAACAAAACAAAATGGCAAACAGAAGACAAAATGATACTAACACGCTGATATGGTGGTAAAAAGCTAACATGTAAAACATCACATTAAAAAAAGGTGACAGTATTCACGTCCTTCTTTGTATCCAAAAACACTCCTAGGAGGAGATGAGGGGCGAAGAGGAGTGAAATTTATGTGGAAAAAAGGAAAAGTAAAACACTCCGTAAAAATTCTCTAAAATATTGATACCTTTCATAAAGTCATGCTATACCTTACTTCTTGGAGTTCAGACTAAGAAATCCACAGTCGTCAAATGACTGCAGCATTACTTAGAAATGCAAATAACAACAGATAACACTTCCTGAGTGCTTACCATGTGCCAGGAACTCTGTGTAAACTCATTATCTTCTAATCCTCGTCCTAGTCCAATGAAGTAGATACTATTAAAATTCTCATTTTAAATCTAAAATCCAGACATTTAGCACTATATCAGTGTGTTCCAAGAATGTACACCATCGGTGGTTCTAAAATGATTTTAGGTGGAATAAACTGGACCGCCATTTTAGTATTTACATACAATAAAATATTGATTTCACGATAACTACAGCAAGTTTTCTTTTGAAATAAATGTGTAAAAAAAAAAAAAGTTAGTCGACTTTTAAAAAGAAAGCAGCATTTCTAATGCCTGAAAGAAAATATGGAGAAATAAAAATAGCCTTATTTTCTGAGGTGAAACTTTTATTCCCTTTAAAATGTTTTCCCAGAGTTCCAATGTTCCTAAAATGTTTGTGTAAAAAAAAAAAAAAAAAGCATTTAAAAAAAGTCTTTCTGTTCTAATCCCTTAAAACATATGTAATCATTCTAGAAAGTATATTTTCCATGGGTTTGTCTCATGAAATTTTAATATGCCTACCTTTGAGCTCTCTCCTACTTCTGAGCCTCAGGAAGTAAATTTCTGACATTAATTAGATTTTCTTTTTCTTCATTTTATCCTATCTTATCCTGAAGCTCCAGGACCAGCCCACTTAACTATTTATTCAAAGACCCCAGAAATTTTTCCATAAGGAAAAGACCTGTGGGGAATCTGGTAGGCATATGCAAATAGTTTTTAAAAGACAAGGCCATTCGTTGAGGGTTCCTCTGTATCTAGTAAGCTGCCCACCTCCAGCCCCCAAAGAAAGTCCAATTGCTAGAGGAGGAAGGATTCTGTGTTTCATCCAGTGATCCCCAAAGGGCCAAAGACCTAGCACAGGTACTTCTGTTTTCCACAGACATCTCTAATACACTGAAGATAGTATGCACAGGCAAACAAAACCATCTCTGGCTTTTCCATACAGTGAACAGGACTTGAGAACTCTTTATGCCTTTAGGCAAGTCCCCTGATGACTCAGAGGCCCCTTTACTTTCTTGACCTCCAGATGCCTGCCACTAGGCAAAGGCTGTCCTTACCCACCTGTGCATGTTCCCATTGGTGGTAAAAGACTGGCCACACACAGTACACTTGTAAGGCCTCTCGCCAGAGTGCACCAGCATGTGGCGGTCCAGGGAGCTGGCCGAGCTCAGCGACTTCCCGCAGATGCTGCACGAATGGTCTGCCCCTCCAGTGTCTGTGTTATGCTGCAGAAAGCAATTATCAGAGTGGTCACTTAAGAATATGGGTCAAAACTCAGCTATTCTGAAATGTGAATTCAGAGCTTTACAAAAAAAAAAAAAAAAAACCAGTAAAGCTTGTCAGCTATTTTTTTCTGTTTCATGTGATATCTTCTTGAATGTCAAAATCTATCAGGAACACAGGCAAATAAATATTTTGTACGATCTTTTTCCATTCCCATGTTCCAGTTTTGAAATATACCTCTCGTGCAAGGCTCAGAGAGAGGTGGAGTCTTTGCAGGTCTTTCCTGGAGACACATATAGATCCACTGACCACATTTATTAACATGAGCAGAAAGACTCTCAACTATGAAGCAAACATGTGAAATATGGTCCTCACATTAAGTCAACATCCATTCTTCAAGTCTGATGACTCAGTTCTGCTGTCAGAGAAAGAGAACTGAAACCTGCATAGTTTAGAGTTCTGGCCTCTGAAATGTGTTAAGGAGGAACATTCTATCCACACCCAAGTTACTAAATGATGTTACTATTACTCAGGACCATGTTATGATTTTAATATTGTCAATCCTTCTTTGTTCTAGGTTCATCAATACTTTGTCATGAATCAGCCATAGCAGGTGAGGGAGAAGGATAAATCTCATAATACAGGAGGAAAGCCAAAAGAGATCCCAAATCAGGTAAATTCCCTGTTGCATGACCAAGTTTATAGCAATATAAAGAAAAGGGGTCTATACAATCTCACTGTACTATAAGGAGATTTGGTTCATACTGAAAAGTTACGTATGAAGAAAAGTCTTCAGTTATATGTGGTCAGTTAACCAGATGTTTGCTAAATTCTGTAAAGGTATGCTGTGTTGACCTGGGACTTTGTCACAATAACATGGACACGCAAAAATTATTTCATAACCACCTGTCAAAATTATTACAATATTAAATCTAAATTAAACAGGGCCACAGGGGACTAGAGACAGGGGGCTGGCCTGGTGGTATAGTGGTCAAGTTCACACGCTCTGCTTCAGTAGCCCAGGGTTCGTGGGTTCAGACCCCAGACACAGACCTACACACTGCTCATCAAGCCATGCTGTGGCAGCGTCCTACATACAAAATGGAGGAAGACTGGCAAGGATGTTAGCTGAGGGACAATATTCCTCACCAAAAACACAAAAACAAAAAACCCACAGCCACAATTCATTCATTAAGATCAAATCACCTTGCCCTCTCTTAATAAAGAATGATTTAAAACAAAAATATAAAAGCAGCAGCAAACCTGACGAATGTGCATAGTTAACTGATGCTGTGTAGTGCAAATCTTTTCACACAGGGGACAGTTATAGGAAGACTTCTCCTCTTTCGTTTCCTGAAAAGATACAATAAAAGGGAGGATCAATTTCAACTCATAGTAAACTCATGCCTCTTGTTTCTGTTATAAGCACCTGTGACTCAAGAGCTGTAGCCATTAAACAGCAGAGAGCATGGGCTCTGGAGCCTGTCTGGGTATGATCCTGGGCAAGTCACCATCTTGTCTGCCCACAGGTTCCTCGTTTGTAAGAAGGGAAAAATAATAGCTCCTACCACGTCACATGGCGATGAGGATTAAATCAATTAACAGGCATAGCACTAGAACAGTGCCTGGGTACAGGTAAGTGCTCAATAAGTATTAGTGTTCTGTTAGACAGACACCATTGAATTAATCATCAGTGATGGTGAAAAACTAAGCATCAAGTGACGGCAGAGTTAGAAAAGGAATCTATTTCTCTCTAAGTCCAACCCAGGCTCCAGTCACTATTTTCTACCTCGTCTTGAGACCTCCAAGAACACATGAGAGGTAATGAAGTTCTCATGACAAAAACCCACCCTCAGAATGATAGGAGACCTCACTGCCCAGCTGTGTGCCCAATGGGCCTCAACACGACCCTTTTACTTGCTGCTAGCACTTGCTTGACACCGCTCATAAATAATAAATAAAAATGCTGCCCCCGTTGAACTGTATGTGACAGGGAATGAAAACCCAAACTGAAGATTTCCACAGAGGGTGACAAAAGAACTAGATCACTACTTGGCGAGGTGGCTCACTTTGTGTTCCCTCAAAACACACAGGACAGGCTTCCTTCAAGCAATACATTCTACCATTTTAAGGAAAAGGACAAGGTCCTTCACTAACCATATGCTACAGCTCCTCTTTCCAAGTAAGTCATAGAGAGTTGCCATGGATGTGACCGCCATCACATCCTCACCCTCAGTCCCCAAGCACCACAGGTCTCCATCCTCACCCTCAAAACTAACAGGATCAAGGCTTAGACACCTTTCCCAGGAATTTGGAATTGAGGTGCTTAGAGACTAAGATCAGTAGAATCACCTGGGGAGCTTTCCGAAATACAGATTTCTAGAACGGACTCATGACATGCTGAATTAGAATCAGTGGGAGTGGGGGTAGTCAAAGGCAGAAATTGGTTTGTTTCCTAAGCTCCCCAGGAGATGCTAATATGTGCCCAGGTTTGGGGATGACTAAATTAGTAAGTCAGGTTATCATGAGCACTTGAATTGGAAGTTCATGTAGAGTTGGGGCTGGACCCAGCACTGGGGTCAGCTCAAGCCATGAGAATGCAGCTGGGGAAGACACTGGTGCTGGAAGCAGGAGACCAGGTAGCCTGAGAAAGACAAAGCCATCGTCTCTAGGGCTGGACACTTGGGTGTCTTTTCAATAGACTTCTTTTCACCTGCACTCATTTGAAAGAGTTTCTGTTCCTTGAAAATAATACCAATTATTGAGCACTTACTATGTGCTAAACGCTGTATGTACAGAAATGTAAATTTTTTCACAGCCACTATTGCAGAACCCATTTTCTAGATAAGGAAACTGGGGTAGAGAGAGGCTAGTAATCTGCCCCAAACCAGAGAGCTATTAGACCCAGGATTAAAAGGCAGGCCAGGTGCTCGACAGCCCATGCCCTAAACCACTATGCTATATAAGTCTGACCAAAAAAAGGATTAACCCCAAGGCACATAAAGGAAACACTCTTGTGGTTGGCTCATGAGAGATGATGAAAATAAAAGTCACCCTGAAGACTATAAAAACAAATGGCACCATAAACCAGACGGGTGGAGTGAATGCACGATGATGTCTGGTACGTAGCTGCCTGCACTGGTTCTCTCTCACTCCTCCTGAAAGACTAACCAGCCTCACTGTAAGCAATACAAACCCTTCTCTAGTCTGTGGCACTGGGTCTGAGAACTAGGTCTGCTACACATTTTCTTCACTCTCAAATTTTAAAAAATTACAGATCAGAACTCTAAGGAAGTTGACTAACCTAGAGACAGGTAAAAAAACCTCACCCAGTCATCCATACACTTCCACTCCACTCAGAGGTATACTGTGTGTGCGTTCGTGAGGGGAGTAGGGGTGTCAGACCTCAGCCCATTCTACTACAATCAGAATGGAGCTGGCCAAGAACCACCAAACAGGAAAACCAAAAACGAACGAAGTAACAACAAAATAAGAGCACTCACTCTAATGATGAGGGATATCTCATAGCCAGGCCAAAACTCAGTCTCTAGGGTATTTTTCTTAAATTATTAGATTAGTGATAATATATATTTAAAAAAATTTTTTTAAATAAAGGGTCACTGGTAGGCCATAAATAAATGTTAAAAAGCCAGGCCTCCAAGTGGCCAGCCTCTTGAGGAGGCAATTTAAAAAAAAAAAAAAATCATCTTGCATTCACCTTGAGGTAGAACCCAGACATACTGGGAAGCTCTGGGGCTGACTGGTACCGCCTCTGGGGTTGATCATGAACTGGACCCCAAACACTCTCTGAGGCTGACAGTGACCCACTGCAGACCACAATACGGGTCCACAAAATCCATCATGGTCTGAGAGTTCCAAGAAAGTTTGTAGACTTACGTTTAATTTTTAAAAACAAACCAAACAGAAGAGAGAGCGCCATGATGCTGGAAGAGGCCCCAGTGGAGAATTGAGAATCCAGTTATTGCAGCCATGCTGGTGGAAGGAGCACATTTCCTGAGCTGACAGATAAAATTAGCAGCTAATGTGATAACTAACCCTTCCATAATGAAACAATTTGGCACCCTTGTCAGCGTCCAGCTGTGGCTAATCTGTCCTGGAAGTCAATGCTAGCATTGATGGGGCTTCTCCCCAGGGCCTCCTCTCTTGGTCCTCCCCATCCACTCACAGCTAAGATGCTGCACACTCTCCCCCAGGGTATTTTGGTTTCTTTTTCAATGCACTGTCATTCTCCTGGTACCCTGGCCCAGACTTCCCTTTCAAAAACTAAACCAGTGCGGTGAAGAACCCTGGAGGACACAGAAGGTAGACGAAAAATGGCCCAGGCACATCTGCACCGTTTGCTTCCCATACCTGGAGAGCAACTTCCACTTAAATGCAGAGATAAGGTACTGTGGGTCCCCTCCATGGATCTGCCTACTATCTCTGAACCACTGGGAAGGGACCAGAGCCTGGGCTTGGGCCAACTCTGCCTGTGCTGGGGCAATGCTGGGCTATTTAAGGAAGAGTTCGTCCCTACCCACTCCACTTTTTCCTGGTAGAACAGAGGAGAATGAGGAGACAATGACCTCATCTATCTCATCATCCAGAAATGTTTGACACCTGACACAGTACCTGGCTGGAAGTAGGAGCTGGGTATATATTATGAAATGGGTGGATGGATGGAGAGATGGACAGATAGATGGATGGATAGACAGTCATGTGAGAGTGGAAATAAACCTTTTCTATCCAGAGCTAGTGCTCCTTCTTGACCCAGGCCACAGTCATACAGGCTGAGTATTTTCTCAGGTACCCATAGGAAGAGAGGCACGTGGAGAAAAAGGAAAGAAGAGAAAAAGATATCAGTGCTCCAACCCTAAAACATCATTTAACTTTGTCAAGTCTTCAGCCTTGAGAAAGGTGTGGAGAAAACAGACTCTCTCTTATGCTACTGGAGGGGTGTTAGGCTGGCACAACTTTTCCTGGAGGGCAAGTTGTATCAAAAGCCTTAACTAATGTTCTCCTTCTAAGAATTTACAGAAAACCATCATAGATGTGCTCAGATAATTCTGTATAAGGATGGTCACTACAGGATTATTAATAAAAAAGAAAATTAACTCACAAAAACCCAACAGATTTACTTTCCTGCCCATCTCTGGTATCTAGACAAACTCACAAGACTGCCTTTTCCTGGAGGGTTTGGTATAATCCCATTAAATCAGTTAAACCAAAACTGAACAAGGAGTATCAGTTCACATTATATGGATTCAGAGAAGAAATGAGAACTATTTGCCCCCTGCCTCATTCCTCCAGCTTTGTTGAACATGTTACTAATGGGATAGCAAGACCTTTCCAAGTGCCCCATTTGTAACTAATTAAAAGATTCATCTTATTTCCCAATGGAGGAGACGTGGACTTCTATAACATCATTAATCCTTTCAATCCTTGCCCACCCATTTTCTTTCCCACTTCTCTTGATCTGATGCCCACTAAAAACTCAAAGAGGACTAAATCTCATCTTAAGTGGAATTCTCTGGAGCCAAATTCTGTCCTTTGTCAAGGATGGAAGAAAGGCGCACAGCAGCTCCAGCACAACCAGAACTTATTTGCTACCTAACCTGAAGACACTTAAAAAAAAAAAAATCAAGGGGGTGGCTTTGAAAACCCAATCAACTGGCAGTGTGAATAAGGAAATGAACCAAGTAACAGAAGAGGAACATGTCAAGTTCTTTGCCTTGGCCATCCCATGAATGAAGAAAGTCTGCATTCAAATCAAGGTATGGGGCACGGAATAAGGGCGCTTTGACCAATAGTGACACCAGAGCACAGAAAATTTTCTCCATGAAAAGAAACTGACATAAGCTATGAGAAGTTCACTCTTGAAAAACGATTATGGCCTCTGGGTATGTCTGTTTAGATGTGAACAAATCCAAGGTTTTATCTTAGGAAGCTGGGGCTCGCTCAAGGGAACATCCTTCTCCCAACGGTCTCAGAGACTGAAACCATCAGACATCAACACCTAGCACACAAAAGCTTACCTGGTTCCTTCTGCCAATCCGATTTGGTCCTGGAGGCTTCGTGGGGGACTTGATGCTCTGGGGGCTCCCGCCATTCTCGGCAACCTTCCCTACACTCATTACTGCTGACATCATGGTGTTGACGGAAGACAAGTCTGAACCTTCCAAGCCAACGGGCGAACTTGACGTCATTGGGACAAGCGTTTAAGCTTCTAAGAAGCCTCTGCCATAGAACTGAAAATTGGAAATTGCCCATGTGATCACCAGAAAGTTTAGGCTTCTGTCAGAGCCAAGCGGCACTGGCCATGGCTGTCATAACTAACTGTAAGTCAGGTCAAAATGCCTAAAACCCTTCTTCCTCAGTTCCAGCTGACACTTGTGCCATAATGATTTAAGCTTTCATCTAAATGAAGTGTTGTCATACCAAAGACTAAACTTGCTGCCTTTCTGAGTGTATGCCACCGACACAACTCAGAAAGCCACCTGAGGCAGGTGTCTTTGTCTTTCCTAATCTTTCATTAGACAGAGAGTGGGAAAGGCTAAGCCAATAATCAGAAAGCCCAGGAGATGCCATGCGGCCAGAGCCCTTCTAATAACCTAACTCATTTACTTCTACGTGAATGTTCTAGACCTAACAACTGACGATGAGAATCTTCAGGTTTCACTTAACTTTACTGCTACAATACAGTGATTTTAATGGGAAGCCCAAATTGTATAAGACAATTGAGAAGCCAATCCTACCAGAATTATAACCAAATTTCAAATCAGCATAAAAAAGATGTTTCTTAAAAGATAAAAGTAGGTAATATACCTATACCCCAGAAAATGGACAGAAGAGAAACCAAGCCCCCACTGCCAATTACCTCCATTTTCTGCCCCAATTGATATACTATGAGATTTTCCCCTGCTATAGCTATCATCCACGTGGAGTAGGAAATGAGTCTGTTCACTTCTTTTTTTTCTTCTCTTAGTAAGTCTCGTTGACACTGGAAGGGAAGCAAAGGCAAAAAGATTCAGTGAATGTCTTTTCACTTAGTGAAGAAAAACTGAAACCATTTATTTGCCCTCATCTCAGACCACCGTATTCACGAGAATACAGGGAGCACAAATGAGAGGTGATTTCTAAGTCGTCTTCTTCTTCCAAAACCACATTCTGTGGTTGTTTTTCAACCTTAACTGATGTTCCCTACAGAGCTGTCACCCTCACTCCCAACAGCCAAAACGATTTTGTGGTATTTTACTTTCTGAAGCTCATATTTATACACATACACTGAATTTTCTTTAATACTCTACCCCAGTCCCTCACAAGGACTCCCAGACTCCCACTTGACCCACCTCCCACCTCTACCTAAAAGTGACCGAAGAAAAGGCGGTAAAGGAATTCACTAAAGGTTCATAGTCTAGAAGGTATTAGGTCAAACCTAAAAGGAACCTGCTAATATGAATAAAATGACTAAAGGAAAACTACAGCCATGGCCATGTCAAAATTTACTTCTGCCAGCCTTTTCTAGTTACAGTCCTTGCAAATGGAAGTACTATGGTTGTAAGTATGGCCAGAAATGAGTCTACAGGTAAACCTTTTCCCACATTTTATCTGGGAAGATATTCTACAGCTAAAGCGCTGCCAGTAAGCCACATACCCTGTTATCCCACAGCATGCATTAATAAATTCTACAAGTCTACAACGGCAGCCTCAACTACAGCTCATTATCTCAGCAGCAAAATGAATGCTCAGGAACAACACCAGAAAGAACATGATTTCTTGTGGTTTCCTCCTTCCACTTTAGGGAACATGACCTAGGAGATGACACATGGTAGCAGCCAGAGCAGCTATAAATGTGTCCTGCAGCAGAGCAGGAAAGGCCTGGGGATATGACTTTATTAAATGAGCCTGCCATCAGCTGAGAATTCCCAAGCTAAAATCTTACCAAAAGAGCCAAAGAGAATCTCAGGAACAGTACTTTTCTTGTCAAGAGACAAACTGTGCCTTCCTTGTTAACAGACATTTTGAAGATAGGAACCTAATGGTTTTCCAGAGGGTAGTAAAAGGACTAACTACAGAAACATACAACTGAAGACAACTGAGCCAGCCTCACCCCTCACATCTTCCCCATAAAGAGACGACAGCTATGTCTAGAATTAAAGAAAACATCAGGGGCTGGCCCCGTGGCCAACTGGTTAAGTTCACATGCTTTGCTTCGGCGGCCCAGGGTTTCGCTGGTTCGGATCCTGGGCACGGACATGGCATCGCTCATCAGGCCATGCCGAGGTGGCATCCCACAAGCCACAACTAGAAGGACCCACAACTAAAAATATACAACTATGTACTGGGGGGCTTTGGGGAGAAAAAGGAAAAATAAAATCTTTAAAAAAAAAGAAAAAAGAAAAAAAAAAATCAAACTGCTGACTTTCCACGAAGTTTCCTGAAGCTAGACGTCCATTTAAACTTATTAAAAACTGTGCTTCAACTTCCTGTTTTTAACTGTCTTTGAGAGTTTATTTGGGAGATTTCTCTCTAGGAAGAAACATGTGACCTAAGTATTAAGTATGCACACACGTAAGTGTGCACACATACACACGCCATTTTCTTGATGGATTTCTAACAAAAGTTTCATCAGTTCCCTAGAACTATTGTAATCAATCGGGATATAATTATTTGTTTGATTCAAATAAGTGGATACCTTCAATACCAAACTCATCTTATTCTTTTAAATGCATTTCCCCCATAGTTTTAATGTACAGCAAATGATAAAATAACTGACTAGAAATCTTCTTTATTGCAATTATGTCAGTAAAAAGAAAGTTAGCCTTTCTACCGATTTATAAGTCAGAGTTAAGAAGATGAGCTTACTTTTGTCCTATTATTACATTTAGAAAAGAAAAAGGTGATAGAATTGACTTAAATCTGGGAACAGGTTAAACACCTTTAGGACCAAATGTAAAATTATGTCACAAAAAATAGATTCTATCATTGAATAGGGAAAGAAAATGGAGAGGAGAGAAACAGACAATACAAAAATTAACAAACATATATTCACTAAACAGAGCCAAATTGCCAGTTAAGAAATTTTATCACAGTCACTGTAACATCAAAGATACATTCTTGCAAACTACCTAAGTATCTTAAATGTACAATACCAGCAATTGTCATGATCGCTAATCAACATAAAGGCTGAAAACTGCAAGGGCCTATGCCAACTGGAAAAAGAGAAAAGTCATGGAAACTTGTTGTTTCCCATCTTGTCTGGACAGGAAGGCATTTGCTAAATTTATTTCCTGCTTTAGGATAAAGTGTAAAGTGTGACACTACCCACTGATGATGCCAAGATCACCTACATTTACTTCCTTTTCTTAGTTTAAGTGTAAGTAAACAGCAGTATTTTTTTAAGAGACTCTTCTCATCTCTGATCAGAAAGTGCAATTAACAAAATGAAATTTACAGCTACACGTTTCAAAAGAAGAACAGAGTCAACTGGACTCCTCCCTGAAAAGCTGTTTCAAAACCAACCTAAACCAGCCCCTTGGAGCTATTACAAGATTTTACTCCAGTCTGCTCTTGTGTCTTACTCTTGAGTTCTCTCTCTGGGATGATGGAGCAGCGAAGAAGGCAAAGAATCTAGTGTGAAACACAATGTAGCTCATTGTTTCATGTTAGAAAAAAAAAATCCACCTTAACATTAAGGTGCATCTGTGGGCTAATTTATCCAGAAGTCAATTGGCCAGTATTAGTCAAGTCTACCTAACCCATGCCTGACCCTGGACTGTACTGGGGCAATAACCCAACCATCTGATAATCCATCTCAGGGGGGGATGAAAGACAAGTTTAACAATTTAAGGTCCTTACAAAGCATATTTTTCTTTATGGATATTCATAGTCTTGGTATTTTCATTCTCTTCTTTGTTCCCTGACACTATCCTATTCAACAGCCCCACCATTGCAAATAATAATAATAATAATAATAATAAACAAAATAAAAACAAAAACCACTGGCCCTATTCTAATACAATCTCCAACTGGAACCAGAGAGGACTGGGAACCCTGATGAAGCTCTCAAAGTCACAGATATGAAAAGAAATGGTCGTCTTCATTGAATGGCCAAGTGGACTGGCCTAGTGTTTCAGGTTTTTTTGTGGGGGGAGATTAGCCCTGAGCTAACATCTGCTGCCAATTCTTCTCTTTTTGCTGAGGAAGACTGGCCCTGAGCTAACATCGTGCCCATCTTTCCTCTACTTTATATATGTGGGACGCCTGCCACAGCATAGCTTGCCAAGCGGTGCCATGTCCATACCCGGGATCTGAACTGGCAAACCCCGGGCCACTGAAGTGGAAGGTGCACACTTAACGGCTGCGCCACCAGGCCGGCCCCCATGGTGTTCCAGTTTTTACCAAACAGTCTGAATCTGGGGGTGGGAAGGGAGAAGCAGGCACTGGGGATGTCTTAAGTGTTGTTTCCTTGAGACAAACACTAAGCACTCCTTCCGAAATTTCTCATCCCACACCTCAGGCCCATTAGATCAGGAAGAACTAGCCATACACAGTTACAATTTCACTGTGGTTGTGCATCAAAGCCTCTGAAGGATCTGGAGAAGAAGGAGGGCAACTCAAAGAGAATGTGGTGAGGGAGAGGAGGGGCCAGGAAGACTCAACACTCAGTGCTATTGTGACTCAAGGAAAGTCAATCATGTTTAACTGACCTGTTTTCTTCGTCTTATCAAGCTGGCCCTCCTTACTGAGGAGCTGGCGCTGGCCAGGCCCAAACGTGGGCGGGGTCACACCTCAAAGCCACCACCTCTGGAGCAGAGTCGGAGCAACCTACAAAAATGAGAAAATGTGACATTAAGAGGGAGTCAAGACCAGAAATGATCCTGTCTCTCCATTTTCTCCACTTAACACCACTCGGAATCACAAATTAAGGACAAGAGAACATTTGCTATCCCCTGCCTGCACTTATAAGTAAGCTTCCAGTTCCTACATTGATTCTACCCAGAGTCAGCTGAGCAAGAGGGACTAGAGTCAGGTGTCCCTTAGACAGACAGGAATCCCCAAAACACGCTCCAACAACGTAGACGGCAACATCACCCATGAATGCTTGGATCACTGGCTCCAGGTGGAGCTTTGAGCATCTGAATGGCATGCTAATAGCAGAGGCTGACGGACGCCAGGATAAGGGGAAGAGAAGAACAAGACAGCAATAAGTGCTGTCAAAGACAGACAGGAAAAAAGAAGAGAGCCGAAGAAAGTAAAAAATATGGAACTAAACAGTCCCTCAACGTAAAGGAGATATTATTACATCTTTTCCTGAATGATGAGGGAGTGTCCATAACACAGCTCAAAAAGGACCAAAGCAAATCTTTTCCTTTCTAGAGGGAAGATTACAGAAAATTTCTCAAACTACATACGGCCTTCAAGAGTTTGAGAAAGTCTGCTCTGGGGTGCCAGAGGCCTCAAATCCTGACCTGGGAGAAAGCTGTGTTTGGCCCTCTACAAAGTCAGAAAAAACTGGAATGCAGCATTTCGCAGAGCTACAAGCCTCAGTCACATTCTCTCGGTCTCTGAAAACAGCATCCTGTAGCTAAACTGAAGAGTGCAAAACTGGGAGAAGACTAAAGAAGTGAAATAAACTGCCACGTGGACAAAACCTGTCAAGAAAGATTTGCATGGCGTTATTTTCTCATTTTTTATCCCCTTTCAGAGTGTCTGGAGGAAAGCTGCCCAATCATGTCACACACCCCGTTATCATCTTGAATCTTACTCACTTTGTCCACACACAGTTATTGAGCACTGAAGGCAGGCAAACCCCTGCTAGACCGGTCTGTTGGGGTGAGAAGGCCCCACCAACTCTTTCTATGAGAAGCAGCTCAACAATTTCTGACACTGTAAACAGTTTCTCACTCTTTATATCTCATTGGTTCAATTGCTCCATCATTTTTCTTTGCCCCTTTCTCTTTTGAAAAGTTCTTTGTATTTTGAATGAAGTATCAAGAAATAAGGAGAAACTCATAGAAACAGTGATCTCTTAAGCCTAGAGGAACCCTTATTACAACCCAGAAATTCTCAGTGTTTCTTGGTGGCAAGACCCTCCTTGAGGATCTGATGAAAATTATGGACCTTCCCATAGAGAAATGCACAGAACTCTACATCCAGCATTTTCCTTCAGCATCAAGAGGGTCAGGGACCCCAGAAGTTCATCCCAGGATAAGTAGGATAAAAATACTGGTTTTACTTGATATGGAAGCCACCTTCCTTTTAAACTATGAATCTAGTCAATTTTATTTAAAATTCCTATGAGGTTTCAGAAATACACAGACAAAACATCCTTTGAGATTATCCCCATTCATCCAAACTTAAAAGATGCCTAAGGTGAAACTAAACACTGAAAAAAAAAAAAAAAAAAAAAGCAAAGTTTCCCTCTGTTATTATTTATTTTTTATTTAATGGCAAATTTTATTAGGAAGCCTGGAGAGAAAGAGCTCCATAGTTTTTTTTTTCTAGAAACTGCCAAGATCTCCGAATAAGTAAAGTTAACTACAGTTCTATACACAGTTAATAAAAACACATCAGAGAGACAAGTCTCTGGAATTAAAATTTTTTCAGAATCTTACCAAGAATCTTATTAAAATTTGGACTCGCTCCTTCCCATCATTTAGAAAAGATACTGTGAGAAGTCCATCAAGTAATCTCCTCAATATACACAGGGAACCAAGGGGAAGAGAGGGCCAACCTGACAGACATGACCCTGAAGCTTCCATCCTCTGATCTTGGCTGTAAATGATTTGGATATTGAGAATATCTTGCAATGAAGCTGAGTAACAAGAGCCACTACCCTGCTTGTGTTGGTTCCACCAGGTCCGAAGGATTCACAGAACTCAGAGAGTGGAAAATACAGGACAGTTCCTGGAAGAAAATTCAAGATACCCCTTACTTCTATCACCACTGCCTCAGAAAAAGAAAGAAAGAAAGAAAAGACCAGTGAGGAGAGGCTGTGTCCTAGAATATGACTCCTGTAGGGGAAATGTGACAGAACATAGGCTGGGAAGTTGGAGGGGTGGGTCTCGGGGCTCCTGAGGGAAGATGCTGCATTTCTGCATTTGCATTCCCACACAAGCTCTGCCCAGATCCAGTGGAAGCAGGCTAACTTGAAGAGGGCAGAGGTCCATCACTGAGGATGAGGGGGAGGGGAAGATCAGCCCCCAGCCTTTGAGGAGATAAGCGACAATGCTATGCAAAGCCAGAAAGAAAAGATTAAGGAGCCCATCTCCAGGTCCAACAAGATAGCAAAGAAGAGATGAAAGATAAGAGGTAAGATGGTCTAGAAACAAAGCTTTCCAGCTTCTGAAAACGTGGAGGATTTGGAATGAAATCTAAAATCTGTCCTAAGGCCCCCAGGAAGGATGGGGTAAGTTTTGATGCATGGGATGACAGTAGATGCCCCCAGACAATGTTACAGTGAGCTTTACAACACTGAACCAGGATAGGATAGGCACAGTGCAGAGCCTACACAGATGTCTGCTAATACTTGGGATGCTGGATCCACTGACTGGAACAGCCTAACTGGCTAGTTCTGGCCAACCCAAAACAGGCTAAAATAGTCTGAGTTAAGAGGAGTTCAGATACTAAAATGCTCTGAATTACCACAAAGCTTAACAAGCAGCAAGGAAGCAAGGACATCTCTGAAGGACAGCCTGAGGCAGAGAGGAACTATTCTTCCTCAGTCTTGGCTATGCCAGAGACAAAACCAAACCAGACTAGTGTCCCACCCGAGCAATGGCTGCTCTCCCCTGCCTGCAAAGCTCAGGGCAAAACCATCTCAATACCCAGGACAACCTCGCTAGTGCTCTGAAGGCTAAGACAGCTGTGATGACAGCTCTGAGTTCCAGGAAGTTGATGTGTTTCTCGGCTTAGGGTTCACTCTATGCCTTGGATAGGGCGGCAACCCGTGCAAGTCACCCTCCCTGCTCACTGGCACGGACCTTGGTCAACTGGAGAGAGCCTTGGAGTGTCACGTAGAGCATTCGAGCAGGCCTGGCACAATCAGGCACCATGAACTGCTCCAGCCAGTTCTGGATCTTCCCCCTTGGGTGAGGTGGGACCACTAAGCAGAGAGGGATGCACCCCTTGGCACAGACCACGTTCAAGACAGCAAGGTGCGGAGGGGACCCAAGACCACGTATGTGGGCCTCCCTGACTTGGGTTGTCTTCTGATTTCCACCTCAATACTACAGGAAGTGTTCAGACTTTTTAAATTGCTATTCAAAGCCCTCCATGCTCTGGCCTCAGTTTACCTTCTGGCCATCTTGCCCACCAGTCCCCACAGCTACCTCTCTGTTCAATTATTTCCCCTAGAACATCCACCTGGACTCCTCTCCCCATTCCATCCCTCAGGGGCCACTTTCCACATGCAGGTTTCCTGATTCCCACTCACCCAAGGCTCTTTGTTTCAAACTCTATCTCTGTAGTAGTAGTATTAGTAATAATAATAATAGTATTAATAGTAATAATAATGTTTTTGAACACTCCGTGCCACATACTAAGTGTATTATCTCATTTAATCCTCTATGAGGATCAGTCCCACTGTACAGATGAGAAAACTAAGAGTAGGGGTTATGTAACTTGCCCCCAAGATCAGGGTGGTAGAGCAAAGTGAATCCAGTTTTTAACCTCTGTTAAGTTTCTTTTGGACAAAATTTGCAACTCCTGGCACAGGGCTTGAGAGAATAGATGCACTCCCTCCGTCATGTTCTCTGACTTCTAACAATCATACTGAGTCACTTCTGCCCCGACAGATGGCTCAGCGCCTGGCCTCCCATGTCCGCCTGTTTCTAGGCAGGAAAAAGGAGCTCTCTCCTCCCACCTTTACCTCTGCCTTCCTCTCTCTGGCAGGAGGCTTGATTGGACTTCCACCTCAAACTAGAAAGTTCACTGCACAGGGCAAGAGTTTGCAACCACTCACTGCCCTTGTTGTATAAAGCAATGGGGAACGCCACGTCCTACACTCTTGTGTTCTAAAAGTAGCCAGCAAGCAGACTGGAGGGAAGCCACTCAGCTCTGCCTGAAATCCCAAACAGCCCAGTCCTGTCGGAATGGCTGGCTCAAACTGACCCACCGATGTAAACTCAAGCTCAGAAGTGACCTGTGTCCTCTGGGTCACTTCTGCTTCCATGGAAATTGAATGCAGACCTGGAGCAAGAGGAAGCTCTAGACAAGGGGGCCCACACTCTCAGGTCCTGAGTTCCAACAAGGTGTGTGTGTAGTAATGGGGGGGAGTGGGGGTAAGAGACAGACAGCATAGAGGGTGGGGAGTGAGTAGCCAGAACTGCACAGATCAAGAATTAAGCAAACACCATGCAAAGGAAATCTTACAGTCTAATCTAGTCAGCGAGAAGTTAACTACTACTGACCCTCCAAAACAGCCACCCCAAAGAGCAGTCCCTGTCCAGCAGCATCATGGACCTTTGTGAGAACTGCAGATTCTCAATATACATAAGTCACTACGTTGTACACCTTAAACTTACACAGTACTCTATGTCAATTATATCTCAATAAAACTGAAAGAAAAAAGAAATTCATATTCTCAGGCCCCACCCCAGAATTACAGCATCAGAAACTCCTCCGGGTGTGGGCCCTGCAGTCTTGCTAGCTCCCAGGGGATTCTGATTCAGCCTTGAGAACCAGAACTTGTCTTTATACAGGATTCTGAAAGAAGGGTGACACAAAACCAAGGATCTCCCTGAAAAACTTTCCTTCCATGAAGATTTGGAAGGAGCCACTGGTTTATCACACCCCCAGAGCAAAAATCCAGGTGCTAGAGCAGA